CCCCCCCCCCCCCCCCCCCCTTGGAAAAACATTTTTACGTACCCTGCACACAATACATATTCTTATGTAGCAAACGAACTCGAAAAATTTCTCAATCATGCAATTTATTATTCTACAAGAGCAGCATTACTTTTTATATTTGTATCCTGCTACTATTATACTAATCATCAGCGATAGAATTAGAATACAGAGACATAGAGACATTGACAGCTAGGCTATTGATTTTACTCAATCTAATGCTTCGAGACATGTGTAGAAAATTTTATAGTCATCGTTTAGAAATAAGTGCACTTTTATTTTCCTGAACTATATTCCATTCTGACCATTACTAATCTTCGAAGTGCATTATAATTATATTAGATAATATTTGCTGACAAATTAACTTTCTTGCGAAAGCTGTAAAATGTTATTCAGTATAATCATTGAAATACATAATAATTGTTTTTTTTTATTTACATGTTTTTCAACGTGCTTTTACAGATAGTATAATCCGAAAGGGAAAATATCAATATTAATTATCACTAACCTTTTTGCTGTAATAACATGAGTTATTATAGTCGGTGATTTTTGACATATTACAGTTGCTGATCGATTGCAGGATTCTTGATTACATGAAAGCCGCCGTAAATCGCACCATTGAAAATCAATATATCCACAAGCAATTTTATGAGTCTTCGATCTGTCTATAACTTCCCTTATTTTACATGGAAATGGAAATAAAATGGAATAATCCCCAAACAATGAAATTTTGCACGAACGATCAACTGCATCGAGATTGAACACTGGTTTAAAACTACTTGTACTACTAGTTTGACATTGCGTAGTAGTAAGATTTTGATTGTCATAAAATACATCAATATGTGCAATATCAGATGATGTGTAACTACGTCGATGCAAAAATAATTGCTCTACTAAATAGCTTATTTCACCTTTCTCAGGTAAAAATAGCTTAGCTTTCTCACGTTCACATTCAGCTTTTGCTTCATGCCAAGTTGTTTCGTGTAATAATACTTTATAACAATAATCTCCGATTAAATGATAATCTGTATCATTGCCACATAAATAATCTGTGGATATATTAACTTTTATGTTCGATAAATCACCATTTTCCATTGAAGGCATTATGCTCAAATGAGATTCTAGATTTTTGTCAACACAGACAGGTATTGTAGATGTCAACGAACACTGATCTGATTCAGAAAAACATTCTATAACAGCAGTCACACCGTCAATTAGAACTCGTTCATAATCGAGAGCGATACAATTTCGATCAATTGATTTTGATGTGTTAAAACATTTGCTAATCAAACGATCGGATATCTTACTGTCGCTTAACATATGTGATACTCGATCAATCCAAAAATGTGTAACCATGTCATCTATTTTTTGAGAGTTGGAAAATGGATATTTATCAAAATAACCTTTTCCTAACATATATTGAGGTAGGAGATCTTGAATTTCTACAATATCATTTATTTTTGCCAGTACTCCACCCATAGATTTACAATAAGATTGTGCCGTTGTGTAAGAATTATTTCTTACTAATTTCCCTAGATGAACACATGGACGTTTACCGCCAATAATCTGAAAACCTAATATAATCAAATTTTATTTTTTTCTTTTTGATTGAAAACTATTGATACTTTTCCTTACCATATGGGCATTCTGAGCTTCTAGTATAGACTGAATAGATTGTTGAATTGCTACTGCTACCACATGAATAAAAGTAGTTACCTAAACAGTGTTGATTACAAGGAAAATCTTGTAGTATAAATCGATATGCTTCCTTGTTTAGGTCTTTTTTCATTTGGATATTTGTACATAAACATCTATTTGAATTAAGCAGAGCATATTGTTGCTGATATTTAGCGCACAATTCTAGACAATAATGTGGGTGAACATCGTGTTTATGAAGTAAATTGAATTGATATATTCTTGATGAACTTTTAGAATTGAAATATACACAACTGTCGTAAACGAAATCAGTATCTGATATCAATGCTGAATATGGTTTTTGTTGTTGCAATAAATATTGATTTCTATACACATCCAGGACAACGACTGTATCTGTGTTGCCACAGCGTTGATTTTCATTTCCTAAAAAATTATAAATAACTATGTGAAGATAAAAACTCATTTACTGCGTGACACATAAATAAAAAGTCGAATCAATACAACGAGCAAGCTTTCAAGTTATACAGTTTTGTATACTATAGATGTTTGTCAGTCAGATATAGATTAGAGCTACTATAATTAGCTATTCTATAATACGATGAATACAGGGGTGTCCCGAAGACGAAAAAATTGGGGGAGAAAATTGTTAAAAAATTTTCTCTATATATAACCGAACTTTGAGGGGGGGGGGGGGGGGGGTACAACCCTTCTTTTGCGAATCATCAAACAGAAAAACCTAAATTTTGCCATAAAAACACAAAGATTTTTCAACATCGGGGGGACACTCCTGGATGCATCAGTCTGTTCTAGATATCAACTAATATCCGTTTCAAAATATAGGAGTCGTGGCCATTTTTTCAATAACTTTTAATAAGAACAAGAGAGAGTAGTGCGGTTTTCGCCATTAGGAAGAGAAGACTTAGGCGCATCAATCGATGCTAAAATATGATTGGTTAACAATGGACCAATCAAATGCAATTTCGATGAAAATGTTGAGCATCCCTATCTGGAGACATTTTTTAACTTAATCCAATTCGTTAATTAATATGTTGATAGAAAAAATTGTTCTCTTTCGATCTACAAAAGGCCGCCTTTTCTAGCTTGTTCCCTTAAATAGTTATACGCGTTTTTCTGAGACCCCTGGCTTCAGCCAATAGACCTCGGATCAAGCAGAAAACCATATAGGGTGGGGTAATTTATCATGTTGACTCGAATGGTGATATTTGTTTTTGAATTCAAAACCATCTTACGGTATTATCTCAATATTTCTGAAATGTGGACTCATGTGATATAGTGGTAGATATTGTGAAATGTAGAAAATTCCTGAAAGGGTGTGGGTGTGAATGTGAATGCTATTTTGAAGAACCTACATCCACATGTGTTCAGGTTGATTTATTTAATAAATCTAAGTTCAATCGATAGAACTCTATTTACTCAAACTTTCTGTGTCACTAGAAGAATCAGGAAGAATGATATATCTGACATTATATTCATGCTTTTGTCTCTCCAATAACTATTGGATTGGTAAGAAATTTTTGTGGTTTTTTTCGTAACTTCCTAGAACAGTTAAGAAAGTTCTAGAAGTTTCCATACTAAGGGTATATAAAGGGAGTGTACATATCTTTCGAATAACAATAAAACTATGGATATACATGCTAATCTCAAATTAGAAATGAAGATATCTCGTAGAGAGCTCCGAGTGCTTCTACTTCATGAATTCCGTCAGGGTCACAAAACAACAGAAGCAACAAGCAACATATGCCATACGATGGGCAAGGATGCGCTCTCCATTTGTACAGCGCAACGTTGGTTCAATCGGTTCAAGAACGGTAACTTCGAACTCGACGATTTACCTCATACTGGAAGACCACTAGAGGTGAATATGGATCTCTTATAAGAGCTTATCGAAGAAGATCCTAGATTGACTACACGGTGTTTAGCAGGGCGTCTTGGGTGCTCTCATATTACAGTGGAGACACATCTGCACGAATTAGGCAAGACGTGGAAATATGGAGTTTGGATACCACATGATTTGTCACCACATCAGCTCCAGCACAGAGTTGATACTTGTATGGAATTAATGACATCTCATCACAACTACCAATGGCTTTACAATCTTATTAGCGGCGATGAAAAGTGGGTGTTGTATGTTAACCACACGCGCAAGCGGAGTGGCTGGGAGCTGAACAAAAAGGTGTAGCAACACCCAAAGATGACCTTAACCAAAAGAAGATTATGCTGAGCGTTTGGTGGGGAGTAAGAGGGATTATTCATTGGGAACTTCTTCCAACTAATTGCACTATCACTGCTGATCTCTATTGCCAGCAATTAGACCAGGTTGCAGCAAAACTTCAGGGGAAGCAGGATACAATTTATTTTTTGCATGACAATACCAGACCTCACAGTGCAAGATCGACGCGTGAAAAATTATTGGAGCTCAGATGGGTTACGGTTCCACATCCATCTTATTCTCCAGACTTGGCTTCTACGGATACCATTTGTTCCGTTCTCTTTCTAACCATTTGAAGGAGAAAAATTTCGACGACGAAAACGACCTGGAAATGGACCTCCTCAACTTTTTTGGTCAAAAGTCGCAGGACTTCTACAAACACGGGATTCTTTCTCTACCATAGCGTTTGCGACAGGTCATAGATAGTAATGGAGCATACATTGTTGAAAGCTAGTTGTATTCTTGATATTAAAAAAAAAACGACAAACATTTCTTACCAACCCAATAATAGTTAATATTTGAATGAATATGAAGTCGCTATTAATCTTTAAGCAATCTTACATATTTTGAACTTGATATCAACCTTGTCGATTAGAGAGGAGAGAGAAGTGTAAAGTCTTTTATCTCGAGATCAACATACTGCGTTTAAAACATAAACTCAAGTTTTTGATAAGTTGCTTTCAGACGTTTAGCTAGAGTCATTTGATTTCTTTCTAAATTTCTAAAATACATCATATTTCATCATTCGTATTACTCAATGCTAGCTTCCTACCTCGGGTCGCATTTTATAACTAGATGCTTTCGCCACTAATCATAGTGACTCCATATGACACTACCTAATGCATCGTTTCGTATGTGTGATAGACACCCACATTTATACTCGCAAAATTACAGGATATGTTGAAGAACGTAAAGCGAATTTTCATTTGTTTTTCTGCGAACAAAATTGAAGTTAAAAATGTAAAAACCAAACAGAATGCTCCGAAATTAGTTGCCATTAGTGAAATTTCAATGTACTTTCGTCAATTAAGTGAACATTCAGTTAGTAAAAATCTTTTTCGTGACATTTGGAAATCTTCTGCTATATTCCTAATAAAGACATTTTCGGAAAAAACGTCTGCGTTTATTATTGTTGTAAAACAATTTGAAATCTTTTCCTCACTAACAAAATTTTGACATGTAAACACATCGATATTCATCAATCGAACATACCTGAACAAGGATTGCCACAATTTTTAGTTCTATAATTTATATAATTGGTGTTGTCACTAGTAACTTGCTCAGCACTATTACGGACACAATAACATTTATTCATATTAATAATAGCTAAACGTGTTCCCAATGTTTCACAAACAGATACACATAATTCATTTGTTAAATAATTTGATATTACTGCAGGTAAACCAAGTGTTAGTGGCTTTTGATAACAAATTTCTTGAGAATGAAAACCAATGGTTGACTTTACTTCACATAGAACATGTTTTGATTCCGAACAAATACTAATTTGACTTGTTTTTATAGTAAAATGTCTTTGTTTTTCATCGATAATTGAACGCTCAAAAACTAAGCATGAATTGTCTTCGATGTTTGAGTTATTGTCATTATTTGAATTACTCATTTGAAATTCATTGATAGATGATAGATTGACATCAATATCAGAAATTAATTCATCGGATTTCTCCGTATATGACACTTCTGACTCAAGCTCTGGTTTGGTATTTGATGCATCTACAAAAGAATGACATTTTTTAGCAACAAAATTCATCAATAACATATTCTTACTCGTGTTGAATTTCGCATATTACTTAAGAGTTAGTCTCTCAAAGGCTCAGACACTGACGATAGAGATACATCTCAAAATTCTTCGGGTTTTTATGTACTATAGAGAATAGTGAGTTTAGTATTCTCTGAAATTTTTAGCTCCTTCTCGTTACTTTTTTCTATACTACCGATCAAGATATTCACGAATTTTTCAATAACTTTTCATAACAATTTTTTATCGATTTTTAGGTGATTTTCTTTACTCAACTATAGCTATTAAGTTATTATTCTTAAATAGACAAAAAATTCACAAGTTTTCATCAAACCTATCAGGAGTAAAAAAAGCAGGACTGTCACATGTACCCAATTTGAATTTTCGAGCTTCTGCTATCATGAGCTGACCTTTGGTCAAAGTGAATCATGTTTTTCAAGAGAACTTCTTGTTTTGTTTACCGAGTTATTTGCAATGGACAATACTGACATGATGGATCGGCTAATGATTATTGGTATATATTATATCTTATTAGTTTTTTCTTAGGTTTCTCTGTTTTTGATCAAAATAAAATTAGTTATGGATATGTGATAAATCTAATCTATATGAGTCGAAAGAATCGAATCATGAAAACTGCTGAATACCATATTCACGAACTCAATGTGTTGGTCGCTTCTTTTTGTATGAATTTTGCTCAGTAATCGGTTCTTTCTCCATCAATTAGTTAGATGATCATTTCTATTTCCATAAATTACATCTTTAGACAACTTATTCTATTGCTTTATGAATCTCTTCAACCTCCATCCGGCTCAATTAATCTGAAAAAGATCTGTGAAAACTACCTTCTAGAATAAATTGAGTTATGAAATAGACCCCGTTTTGGTTCAAAAACACTGACCACTCTCCTCTCTCGTATAAATAGGAACTGGACTACTAATGACAGTTCATTTAGTTGATGTGGAGTTGTCGTATACTTAGCTCTAGATATTTTAACTCATTTCGTTATTTTATATTTTCTATATCGTATTTGACTAACATATTATAAAGCTATTTACACAACAAGTCTATTTAAACATAATCGTAGCATAGACAACTCTAGCTATTCCAAAGAAAGTTGTTCTGATTGAAATGATTATTTAGCATGACGTAGTGAAAGATTTTGGATTATTTCCTATGATAGCGTTGTTTTGATGGTATAATTCAGAGTTGGAATCGGTCTGGATTTTTGACGACTGGTACCGATCCAAACAGGTCACACCGGCCGGTACACAATTTTTACCAATAAAAATTCTATCTTTTAGATACAAGGGCGGCGCGAAGAGGTCAAAGCAGGGAGTTCCGAAAATCGAAGCAATTGTTCGAACTATCTCTCTACATTAAGAGAAAATCCGAGCCGAATTTCTCAAAGCAGGGAGTATCCTCCCCCCCTCCCGCTCGTGCCGTCCCTGTTTGGATAGTAATAGTTCAGGTAATCTACTTCCACCGAAATTTTCATACGTATTCTGTACACAATAGCATTAAGATTCCGCAGTTTTGAGCTATTTTATGCAATAAAACCACGAAAGAAAAAAGATAGACCGATCTACCAGTTACATCTCTGGTATAATTTAATTATGAAAGTATTTTTTGTGAAAAGTGAATAATAAAAATTGATTTGTAATATTAAAAATTTCAAAATAATGTTGTCTGTTAGAAATGAGGTTTCTTTTAACAGTTTTTCTCTACTAACATTCTCTTTTGAAAAGAAAAAGATGTACCCCATCGTAGAAAAAATTGTACCTCAATTGTACCCCATTTGAAAAGCTGTTAGCGCAATCCCTTGCGGGATTAAAAATGTGAAACACGATGTAGCTACTAAAGCCAATATTCTAAAAGCTGTTGTTTTTTTATGCATACTGATGTATATTTCTTCATAATGGCTTACCTTACATTATGTACTTTCAAAAGTATAATACTCCATATATGCTTCAATCAGATGTTAGGTATGCATCATATCTGATATTTCCTTGAAGTCCTCTATCACAGTCTATAATGATCCCTGAGTCTTGTCTCTCACGTGTCCAAAACCTGTTTGCCATAGTTTGTGACGGATGGATAACCTGTCTGCAGTGGTTTGTCATAAGTCCAGAGACCTGTCTGTCACGGTCTGTGATGAGTTCAAAGCCCTGTCTGTCACGGCCTGTGGCGGGTACAAACACTTGTCTGTCACGGTCTGTGACGGGTTCAAAGCCCTGTCTGTCACGGTCTGTGACGGGTCCAAAGCCCTGTCTGTCACGGTCTGTGATGGGTCCAGATCCTGTCTGTCACGGTCTGTGATGGGTGCAGATCCTGTCTGTCACGGTCTGTGATGGGTCGAGAGACCTGTCTGTCACGGTCTGTGATGGGTCCAGAGACCTGTCTGTCACGGTCTGTGATGGATCCAAAGCCCTGTCTGTCACGGTCTGTGATGGGTTCAGAGACCTGTCTGTCACGGTCTGTGATGGGTCCAGACCCTGTCTGTCACGGTCTGTGGGGGGTGGGGAGCTCGGTCGGGGACGGTGTGTGGGGGGGGGGGGGGGGGGGGGGGGTCCAAATTTCTACCCCTAAACACTCCAACACTCCTTTCAGATCGTGTTTCACAAAATTATGGTATGGCAGCCCTGTTATAAAGGTACTCGTTTTTTTTTTATGTATTTTGTTACAAATATGTCGTTCAATCGCATTTTATGTAGTAACAAGCAATCATTCTAATATTTCTACTGGTTATAGAGAACATCAAGTTCTAATACCTAGGATACGTCATAATTTTCTCCCTTGAGAAATGTCAAGCATCTTTGATTAAAAGTCATCTTTTTCTATCATTGATAAAATATGTATGAAAATGCCTGTCTATTTGTCATAGGGTCTACCTTCATAACTAATTAATATTTTCTTGTTTAGCTGTTTTTTTTTGGTTGTGAAAAGTATAGTGATACAAAATTATTAAAACACACCTTTGATATTTTTAGTACAAAACAGCATAAAACTAGAAATATTTTGAAGTTTTCAATAGATGAAAATGAATTT